TCCTGGACGTTGGCTAACAGTGTCTGTCTGGAAGACGCTACCAGCAACCAGTCGTCTATGTACGGGTATACCGAGATGCCCTTTAGGCGGAGGTATGCCGCAACGACGATCATCGTCTTGGTGAATACCCTTGGGGCGCTGGAAAGGCCAAAGGGTAGAGCCGTATACTGGTAATGGAGGTTGCCAATTGCGAATCTTAGGAATTGGCGGTGGGAGGGTGCGAAAACGGAGAGCTAGTCACTAAAAGTGATCAAAAGGCAGCGATCCGGCCAGACCTCTCGAAGACAGGTCTGCTCAGCGCGGCGGAAAGGAAAGAACTGGCGGGATGTCCGTGCCTGCCCTTCTGGGCATGCTCACTGGGGCTCCTGGGTGGGGTAAGGACGACTGTGGGTCGAACAGGAATATAAAAGTGATCAAAAAGGCAGCGATCCGGCCAGACCTCTCGAAGACAGGTCTGCTCAGTGCGGCGGAAAGGAAAGAACTGGCGGGATGTCCGTGCCTGCCCTTCTGGGCATGCTCACTGGGGCTCCTGGGCATGCTCAGTTGGGCCAGGCACGAAAATCCTTCTAGAAGAGCTTGCTAGGCACCGGCAGATCCAGCGCAGGCGCACTAGATCCCCATTGGTGTGAAGCACAGAGACCACGAAGAAGATCCTTTGTTCCACTCCCGTTTTGAAACTGATACTACTATTGAAAGTAGAATTAGTTGTAGATTTTCCGGGCTGCGTGGCCGTGCTCTTGGCATTGTAGGACCTGACGTTTCGCCAGCCGCTGTGACTGGCATCCTCAGAGGTGTAACACGGAAAGAAGGAGTACTCTCTGTGTCAATGTGAGAAGAAAAATGGTAGGCAGGTAATGTATATCTACTCAGGAAGGTGGGTGTACTGGAAAGCTTGATTTCAGAGCAATGTTTACAAGCATAGGCAGCTGCTTGGAAGGTAGCCTGCAGCTGAGCGGTCACGTGACCAGAGAGGCAGGGAGAGAGTGTGTGACGTACTGGTTTTGGAATCTTCCGTTCTGAACTAGAGGGAGGAAAAAACGGTTGGAAAAGGCGGTTAACGGCTGACTGCTGACCAGAAGAGGAAGGGGAGAAAGGATGCTCTCGGATGGAAGAGAGATAGAGCGGACCCTGTGAGCTGCTGAGGAGTTTAATGATAGAAACTCCTGGTGTATAACTCAGACACACGTGGGGTGCGTTCAGATGGGGCATTTGCAACGGAATAGGTGCCGGTTGCAATCGGTGAACTTACCGGCGTTCACACGTATAACATCTGCCTTCCGTCCCTAACCGTTGCAAAGCCCTTTAAACCGTTGTACTCTGCCACTAGGTCCCCAAGTGGTGGTATCCTGAGTACAACAGTTGTAATCACTGTACCCGCCGTCTGATCGCTCTCCACCGGTGTCTAGCTTCCGATTTTCCCCCGCCATTTCTTTTAGGTTGCCGATATGCGCTTGGGCGAAGCTTCGCCCCGGCGTTTGTTTAAAAAAAGAAGAAAAGGACCTTAGTTTAACTTTTCGGAAGTCAGGAAAGTTGCAAGACTTCAGGGAGGCCAGTTTGGGCTTTAAACTTTAAAGGTAAGTCCTTACCTTTAAAGTTTAAATGTAAGAGTGTTTTGAGCATGCGCAAAGATCGCCATTCTGTGGATGGCTGCCTTTGCGCATGCGATCTTATCTCCACTCTTCTCCACTCCACTCTCCCCCGAAGCCATTCAATCCTCCCGTAAACCTTCTTGTTTCTCTGAACATCAGCAAAACTGGCCAGTCTCCAAAGGAGCCATCTGTCCGTGTCCTACAGTAATTACAGTACCAATCTCCTCTTAGCCCTCAGGAGAGCCGCTCCCAGCCACTTGTTCAGCTGCACGTCCTTGGTCTCCCTCTGAGCGAAAGTTTTAAAGTGAACACATTGTCCATGGAAACCCAACAGAAGAGAACAAAAAAAAAAAGGTCGGTCACCTCCGTTGAAACTCTTATTCAACTCCGTTGAAACCAGCTTCGGCTGGTGCAATCTATTACCTCCCGTCGATGGTGGTGGGAAGGCGAGACTAGAAGACGGTGATCGCGGTGCAGCCAGAATAAACTGCACCGGTTCCAACCAGTACAGTTTATGCCGGCTGAAACGCCGCGTCTGAATGCACCCATAGTGTTCCTCTATAAGAAAACCTGTTGGGGAAGGTTACACAGTTCTAGCTAGGGACCGACCGCAAGTGAAGCAGTTTAAGGAGACGCTAAACTGTGGGAGAGCCTTCAACAGAACAGGGAGATAAAAGATGGCGTGTGCAGGAAGGGTGTGGTCTGGAAGAAAACTCAAAAACCTAAGAGCAGTGCAAAGTTAAAAAGAGGGGGGAAAGGAAGAAAATTTTGTTAAAGAAAAGTGAAAAGGTGTGAAAAACTTGACTCAATTCATATTGACTTAAATGAGTTATGATTTACTGTAACTAAGCCTTTTTGAGGATCTCCTCTCTTGGGTTTTTAGGTATTAGTTGGTTTCTTTCCTTTTTCCCAATATATGTAGTACCCCATCACTATTATTTTCTGTAGTATTGTAGATTTACAAAAATAATTAAAAAATCCCCTCCGGGGGCTTCAAGAAAAAAAAAAAAGAAAAAAAGGAAGAAAAGAAAGCCTGAACAACTGATTGACTCCCTGTATATAACCCTGTCCCCCGGTGTTATTTTAAATAAACTTGTATTTGTGTTCAAAGTGGAGGGTGTCATAAACCTCTGTGTCGAAGAGCGTGAACTGGTGGTAGAGAGGGGGGGAATGTGCTGAGAGCCCCCTGCAGTTACAGTGGGGTAGGGCTGAGTCATTATCTTTTAGGAGTCCCCCAGGCTGTGAACATGCTAATGGAGGAGCTTTCCTGAGGAGGTTCTTTTGTGTATGGATTGTTTCCTGAGGAGGTTCTTTTGCATGTGGATGGGCTGTAGAACTGTAGAACTGTTTCTGGCGGATTTACTCCTGGCTCTAAATAAATTCTGATCTACTTCTCTCACCTTGAACTTCCACCTGGAACTGCTGCTTATCACCCTTGGTCTCACACGTGTACACGCCCGTGTCCTTCTCCTCCGCCAGCTTCACAGTCAGGGAACGAGAGGCCCCCTCTTTTCTAATCTCATACTTCTTGTTGCTCTTTATCTCGGCTCCATCCTTGCACCATTTGACCTCAGCGTTATCGGGCACGACCGTTGCCGTCAGGCTGATGCTCTTATGTTCCTGAATGACCATCGGCTCCTCCTGGGCAGTTTTCTTCTGGAATTTTGGCTCCGGTTCTGGAAGAGTAATCATGGACGGGGGAAATTCAGAATTCACACGTACAAGAAGATCAGGTTTTTCAGGTTCCCAAAAGCACTCAAGGACATAGAAGGAAATTAGTTAAAACTAACCGCACACATAAAGTAAGATTCCGGGGTCCTTTGGAACTCCGACCTAGCATCTGATAGAAAAGAGCCAGAGTCCAGGAGCACCTTAAAGACTAGCAAAATTTGTGGAACAGTATGAGCTTCCCTGAGTTCCTGCTCCCTTCTTCAGATACTCTGAAGATACTCTGAAGAAGTGGGCGGTGACTCACGGAAGCTCCTCCCTTGCCACAAATGTTGTGAGGAGGAGGAGATTGGATTTATACCAGTGGAGCCTGAGCGGTGGGCGTTGCCTTCTGACACACTTCCGGTGATGTCAGGGGATGTGGCATATGCAAATAAGTTATGCTAATGAGTTATGCTAATGAGCTCCTGCACCTCTTTTTCTACAAAATGACCCCTGCCCTGGGGCTGGTATCTCCAGCAGTCTCTCCGTTCATGGAAAACAAGATCTCCAGTCTCGCTTCCCACCCCCTTCAGAAAAACACGGTGTAGTTGCCAGCAATGTTCCCTCTAAGCTGTGGAGTCTTGTGAGCAAAAATTCTACTTTGTGAGCTACTGGCATTAAAGTTGTGAGCAGGTGATTTGGTTACTGCATATATTAGTTTGCTCTGGAGCCATCCCTCCTGAACTAAGACAAAAATGTGTGAGTTCTTTTTCTAGAATTGATATGATTTGGATGTCGGAAGAATTATCTATAAGTACACACAAAATTGAAATTTTGCCAAGATGTTTTTCGGACCACAACCCTGTAATGTGGAATATGAAAGAAAGATGTAAACATTTTTTATGGAGAATAAATGAGGATTTGTTGGATAAGAAAATGATAGTTGAACTGCTGAAAGAGGAAACAAAACAATACTTTCAACAAAATTTGAACAAGGAGACTCCCATACGGGTGGTGTGGGATGCTTACAAAGCGGTGATGAGAGGAATTCTCATCGCGCAAAATGTGAAATGTAAAAAAGAAAAACTCAAAAAACAAGCAGATGTGTTGGAAAAAATAGTCCAAAAAGAAGCAGAACTTAAGAAAAAACCTGGGAAAAAGTCTATCACTAAAGAATTACAATTGTTAAGAGAACAACTTAACATGACAATGAATCAAGAACTCTATTGGAATTTGAAGAAACTACAGCAAAAATCATTTGAAGGGGCAAACAAACCAGGGAAATATTTGGCATGGCAGCTTAAGAATAGAAGAGAGAGAAGAACGATAACTAAAATTATAGAAGAGGGAAAAGAACTCGTTGATCCTATGAGTATAAAGAGGAGTTTCTTCAAGTACTACGCAAAACTTTTCCAAGGAACTAGAGCTGATCTTGAGAAAATTAAAAAATATCTGGAAGAAACATCACTGCCTAAAGTAAAAAGCGAGTTCAAGGACATACTAAATGGTCTGATCCAGAAGGAAGAAGTGGAGAAGGCAATTGAAGACACTAAGTTGGGAAAAGCACCTGGACCGGATGGCTTTACTGCAAAGTTTTATAAAAAAATGAAAGAAGAATTGATTCCGGTCATGGAAGCTTTGTCCAACGAAATAAGAGAAACCAAAAGGGTGCCGGATTCATGGAAGGAAGCAATAATTTCGTTGATACCGAAAGAGGGTCAAGA